TGAAAAATACACATAGATATAACTTTTCCCAACTCTTCAACAAAAAATTATAAATGAAAAATACACATAGATATAACATTTGGATCAGATGCTCAGTCAATCACTTACACTTGCTCCTCTTGCCTAAAATCTAAAAATATCATCAATAAAAAACAGAAACACCATCAAGCTAATCAAATAAATTGAAAGTCGTTTCTACATTATAAAATCGTCTATAAATCAAATGAAAGCGGAAATCAATAGAAATCCACCAAGCTAAGCTGGTTTGTACATTATTGTGAAAAAGCATAAGCAACGGACTTCCAAACAACCATCTAGGAACTTCCAATTTAGTCCTCAAATGCCAGCAATGGAGAAATTAAAGCTTCTACAACAATTTAACTCAAAAAATAGTTCCATAACTAACATCACTTAATCCTGACAAGTTGAATCAGAAAAACTATAAAACTTGCATCAAACATTTCATAAGCAATTCAACATTACCTCTAAATCCATACCTTTCCATCGTCCCAATTTGGTGATGAATTGTTGAATCTTTGAATGTGATCTCTGGTACAATAGCAATTAGTTATAATTTCTTCTCTACAACATTTGCCTTCTAAGTAATATAATATTCGTTTTCAATCTGCAGAAGCCATATTTGTATCCTAAACATACATGTGACTGTAAGTGAGTAAGCCACAGCCCTTGACTAAGACCTAGTTTGGGAGTGAGGTGCTTAAAAAAAAAGCACCTGTGAAAAAAAGCTGTGAGGGTTTTAGGTGTTTGGTAAACTGAAAAAAAATGGCTTATTTTGGAAGCTGCTGTGAGAATAAGCTGAAATCAAAGAAAAAAGCTGAAGCTGCTATTTGCAGCTTTGGAAAACTGACTTTTTTTCAAAGCACACGGAGCTACAGTGCTCCTTTAATGAAAAGACCCACTATCAGACTGCTTTTTTTTTTTCCAAAAGCACTTTTACAAAAAAGTTTACCAAACGCTCTGCTGATTTATTTCACAGCCGCTTATTCTCACAGCACAGCCGCTTATTCTCACAGCAGCTTTTTTTCAAAGCACAGCAATACCAAACCAGCCCTAATAAAACCAGATTCTAATTAATTAAAACAAACAACAATGGAAGGAAAACAAACTTCATAACTTCATATTAATATAGCAAAAAATGAGACAGAGTAGATAAAACCTAAAAAGAACTATTCGTTTCAGCCCAATTTATCAAGCACCAACATAAGTTATTTATTTTGTAAACTATTTCATATTTCTTTCCTTTATTTCACTCACCTTGATCCACCATCATACTCTATGAGTTTGACCGCAAAGCTGAAGCGACACTATATGACTCACAACTCTTCCACTTGAACTAACTTCAGTAAAATGTTACCATCAGAATCGAAAGAGAACGTAGAAGGATAAGGTTGATTCAATAGAAGTCATTGCCTCTTCATCAGTCTGTTGACAAATGAGAACAAAAATGGATAGGTCTATAAATTGAAGGGCTAATATTCTAGAAATCACAAAAACATGGAAACCACAACGGTCGAGCATCCAAACGAAAGGCAGTTTAAATATGATGTGTACCTTTTCAGTTAAATCCAGGCCTTTTTCAGATATGTGAATGAAAGAATCTGCAAGAAAGTATGTGAATTTTGGAAGGTAGTAATTCACCAATTCTCATTAATTTGATTCTCTGTACAATACTACTATATGTAGCCATATGTTTACAATCAATTCCTACTAACTAGCTATTAATTGACAGCTTATAATACAAGATAGGAATGTAATCAATTACAATATATTAATCTTTGATATCGTTGATTGACTCATAATATTCTAGAAATCACAAAAACATGGAAACCACAACGGTCGAGCATCCAAACGAAAGGCAGTTTAAATATGATGTGTACCTTTTTAGTTAAATCTAGGCCTTTTTCAGATATGTGAATGAAAGAATCTGCAAGAAAGTATGTGAATTTTGGAAGGTGGTAATTCACCAATTCTCATTAATTTGATTCTCTGTACAATACTACTATATGTAGCCATATGTTTACAATCAATTCCTACTAACTAGCTATTAACTGACAGCTTATAATACAATATAGGAATGTAATCAATTACAATATATTAATCCTTGATATCGTTGATTGACTCATAATATTGGCAAGTATCTTGATGATGATCCTTGACTTTCTCAACACTCCCCCCTCAAGTTGGTGAGTGAGTGTTGCGAACTCCCAACTTGCCTAGCAAAGAATGAAATCTTTCCTCCCCAAGAGCTTTAGTGAACAAATCAGCAAGTTGTGATATGGAATGAACAAATCCCGTCACAATTTTTCCTTCCATGATCTTATCTCGAACAAAGTGACAATCAATCTCAATGTGCCTTGTTCGCTCGTGAAGCACCGAATTTGCCGCAATATGAAGAGCGGCTTGATTGTCGCATAACAAGGTAGCTGGCCTTTGGTCTTGAATTTGAAGATCTCGAAAAAGGCTTTGGAGCCATGCAAGCTCACAACATCATGTTGCCATGGATCTATATTTGCAGCAGAAGATAAGGATACGGTTTTCTGCCATTTGCTTTTCCATGAAATAAGGCCATTTCCAAGGAAAACGCAATAACCAATAGTTGAACGAAGAGTGATAGAACATCCTGCCTAATCAGAATCACAATATTCCTTTAACTTCAATGAATTTTGAGAGGGAAACATCATGCCTTGCCCTGGTGTGCCTTTCAAATACTTCAAGATGCATAGGGCAACTTCATAATGAGACTTTTGAGGTGATTGCATGAATATACTCAATAAATGAATTGAATATGTAATATCTGGTCGAGTTATGTTTTGATGGGATACACATTCTACGAAAGTAATTTCAACGATCCAACCGTCAAACTTGTTTGTATATGCTTCAAGATCACATAGCTAAAAATCGCAAAACATAAACATTTAGAGATTAAGTAACGGGACAAAACTTTTCGACGGTTATGAACCAAAAATCATGATTTAACATTTATTTTAACTTTGATTTTGACGGAACTTGGATGCTACTGGAATGTCGCAAAGGGGCAGGGGATGCAGCTGCAGGCTGGGAAGGTGCTGGACACGGGTCCAAGGAGACAGCAGGCACATCAGGAAGGGTTGAGACTTGGTCGAGCCCATCAGTGGCAGAGGTGGGTATATTTGGGACTGGTGTTGGGCCAAGAGAAAAGCCTCGCTTGGCAATTTGGTGGTCTAATAGGTAAGGAGCTGGAGTGGGTGGAGATGAGATTGGGCTTGGTGGAATGCCTAGATTTGGGTCCGAGGTAACTGTTTTGGCTTGGGGATTTTTGTGGAATGGGAAAATAGTCTCATGAAATGTGACATCTTGACTTGTAAAACTTTGTTTGGAATTAAGATTATATAATTTGTAAGCTTTTTGCCCGAAAGGATACCCAATGAAAACACATTTTTTAGCCTGAGCATCGAACTTATGTTGTGGGTGAAGATTAGTGGCATAGGTTAAACACCCAAAGGTGCGTAAATGGTTTTATGAATAAGGGTGACCAAATAATTTCTCATAGGGCGTAAGGCCCGATTAGAGAAGGGTAGGAATGCATTTAATGAGGTAAATGGATGTGAGAATGCATTCATCCCAAAAGTGCAAGGGAATATGTGACTGAAAATGCAAACCCCGTGTGGTTTGGAGAATATGTCTATGCTTATGCTCCATAACCCCATTTTGTTGAGGGATGGAAACACAAGAGCGTTGAAAAAGTATGCCATGGTCATTAAAGAAAGTATGCTTAGAAACAAATTCGCCACCATTGTCAGTTCTAATGGTTTTAATTTTGTGGTGAAATTGTGTTTCGGCATAGGCAATGAAAGATTTAAGCAAAGATTGGGTGTCTGATTTATGACGCCTGAGATAAACCCAAGTGTAACGCGTAAAATCATCAACAATAGTAAGGAAATAACGAGCACCTGAACGGAATGCTACTCTATGTGGTCCCCAAATATCACAATGTATAAGTTCAAAAGCATGCTTAGTATTAATATGACTTAATCCGAAAGACAATCGAGTTTGTTTTGCCAAAGGGCAAATGTCACAAGGTTTATTTTCAGAATGGCAAATTTCAAGAAAATGTTTAGCTAACAGTTGGAGTGTCAAGGGTGAAGGGTGACCAAGTCGACAGTGCCACGTGATGGAAAATACCTTGGGAGATGAGGTAGTTGTAGGTGATGTCCCGCCTTTTGGAGTCCACCAAATAGTAAAGCCCATTACGCTGATGCCCCCAACAAATCATCGTCCTCGTCTCCAGGTCTTGTAAAATACAAAAATCAGGATAAAAAGTTACCGAGCATCTCAATGATTGAGTTATCCGACCAATGGAAATTAGGTTGATAAAAAAAAAAGGAGCTATGCCAAGAACATTATGAAGAGATATTTTGGAACCAAAATTGTAGGTGCCAACAGAGTTTATGGGAACCGAGTCCCATTAGGTAATGCCACTGATGGTAGAGGTGGATTTGAGGTTGCATTAGTCAATAGGAGACTAGATATGTGGTTAATGGCACCACTATCTATAACCCATTGGAAAGAAGAAGGCCCACATGTTATATTTGCCTTGGAATCAAGGCCCAGCTTTTGGCTTACATGGATAAAAGTTGCTGGAATTGTTTGGTGGTGAGGTTGGGCATAGAGGACGGTGCAACGGTGGATGCCACATTATTAACAGCAGGTTTGTCACTCGGCTTGTCATCGCGCCCCCTAAAACTGCTCGAACCACTGGACTGACCATGAAGATGGTGCCCCGACATGTATCCATGGAGCTTTCAACACGTTTCAATAACGTGATGGTCCTTATCGCAGTGTGAGCAATGCAATGGTTTCCTCTCAGATGATTTCCCTTTTCCATAGTTGCTATTGTTTCCACTGCTTGTTCGAATAGCCATGGCTGCAGGTTCAACTAAGCTAGGCCCAACAATCATGTTTCTTTGTTTCTTTTCTTGCGTCAACATGAATTAGACGGATCAAATCGAAGGCAATGGCTGAATAAGCAAAATCTGCCCACGAATCAGAGAATACGAGTCGTCTAACCCCATTAAAATCTGCAAAACCTTGGTTCTCTCCACCTGTTCATTGTTGGATTGAACAACCCCACAAGAACACGGTGTTAAAGTTTGGTAAGAATCCATCTCATCCCACAAACCTTTAAGCTTGGTGAAATACACATTGATAGGTTGTTGACTCTGTGTACGGCGTGCAAGGTCACACTGGATTTCAAAGAGACGAGACACGTTTTGTTGAGAAAAACGTTATCGAAGATCATCCCAAACGTCTTTGGTTGTCATCATGTACTCCACATTAGTGGCTAGGTCGCCGGAAAATGTATTGAGAATCCACATAAGGATCATGTCGTTGCACTGTTGCCAAAGAGCAGATTCTGTGGGCTTTGCCTTTGCAGATGGTTGTTCGACACTTCCATCAACAAACCCTAATTTGTTCTTCACATTGAGGGCAATTGACATGGAACGACACCAAGTGCCATAATTTTCACCGGTAGGTTTGGTTGAAACGAGCAACATTCCAAGGTGATCGGAATGATGAACATAGAAAGGACTAGCAGGATCACTAGAGGGTTCAAGTTTGGCCATTGCTAATTTTGTTTCAATGCCAGATGTTGAATCCTCCACCATAACCCAAGGAAAAAAAGAACTAAGAAGCTAGGAAGGGCTCTGGTACCATGTGAATTTTGAAAGGTGGTAATTCACCAATTCTCATTAATTTGATTCTTTGTACAATACTACCATATGTAGCCATATGTTTACAATCAATTCCTACTAACTAGCTACTAATTGACAACTTATAATACAAGATAGGAATGTAATCAATTACAATATATTAATCCTTGATATCGTTGATTGACTCATAATATTGGCAAGTAACTTGATGATGATCCTTGACTTTCTCAACAAAGTAACATATAAGAATAGAGACCTGTAAAATTATGAGGGTAAAGATCAATCAAGTTGATTCAAGCGGCCATATTTACTACATTGTTATCTCCTCATGATACTAAAATCATACTAAATCTTATTAATCAACACCAAATCAAAATTTTCATCTATTTGTCATTTGTAAAATCAAAAGCAAATCAAATCAAATAAAATTACGTTTTGATAATATATATCCCAAATTATTTATATTTTGGAGTGATATCAAGTTAACTTTTTTTATTTGCGTTTATAGTTTTCCTCCAAGTTTATATCTCTTTATTTATACTGGTCTTTTTGTCTTTGAAGCGAGAGGAGGAGTTATATGGAACGTGTAACCAAGACGAGAACGACATTCCTTGTCTTCGGAGCCACCGGATCATCAAAAGAGGAGGCATATTGATATCAGTATACCTATCACATAGAGGAGGAGCAAGAGCAACCGTCCACTTCTAACCAATGACAATATTGTGTATTTTTCTTGATATGCAGCTGGTGCAGTCCCTACGGTAGTTGGGTTTTCTGTTTAATATTACGGATTGCATCCTCCGTCTTGAAATAAATAGAAAAATACACAATATTAAATGAAAAACCCGTCAACTGTACGGACTGAAATAAGCCTGGCCTATGGATCTTGGGCTTGGGCTTGGGTACATATTAATATATAAAAGATAAGTTTTTATGTTTTTTTTTCATTCATTTTTTTTTTAAATAAGACTGTTTTCAGTAAACAGTTACAACTCTTTTCAAAGGATTAGACCGACTTGAAACAAACACATATATTGGTTTAAGCCATTATAAATATGGCTTAAATATCATAAACGTAATCATTCATTCAAACATTCTTTTTATTCTTTTACTAAGAAACAAACTTCACTTCGCTACGAATCTAAGTTTAAGTTCAAGAATTTAGATTAGATAGTTGTACTCTGCAAGATAGACGTCCACGAACTACTGATCTGGTGTGGGATTGTATTTATGTCTTAAGTGATTGGTACTACAAGCCATTATCTGCATAAAACAAGTTATTGATATATGTTGTGATTTTCTTTTGGGTAAATTACATAGTAGCCCCTCAGGCTTGAGGTCTATTGCAATCTTATACAACATCTTTAAAACATTTCACTTTCATACCTCATGTACTATTTTATTTCAATTTCATACAACCGTTACATTTTTCATCCATGGATCTGTTAAATGCTGACGTAGCTGCCAAATGTCTGCCACGTGGCAAATAAAATAATTTTTTAATTTTTTTTTAAAAAAAACTGAATTTTCTCAACCAAAAAAAAAACTGAAACCCATATCTGCAACCAGCGATCAGAAGGAGGAAAAGAAAGAAAAAAAAAATTTGTCCCTCCCCTAGCGACAAGAAGAAGAAGAAGAAGAACCCCCTCCCGTCCCCCCTGCGCCCAGCGACCCTCCCCCCACCCCGACCTAGCTCCCTTCCCCCCTCCCTCCCCTAGCGACAAGAAGAAGAAGAAGAAGAACCCCCTATCGTCCCCCCTGCGCCCAGCGACCCTCCCCCACCCCGACCTAGCTCCCTTCCCCCCCCCCACCCAGCTCCCTCCCTCCCTCTTCTTCTTCTTCTTCTTCCCCCGCACCTAACTCCCTTCCTCCCTCTTCTTCTTCTTGTAGATTTGGGTTTCTTTTTTTTTTTTTTGATTTTCTTCCTCCGACGACCCTCCTCCCGTCCCCCACACCCCCGCGCGTCCCCACCCCGACCCAACTCCCTTCCTCCCTCTTCTTCTTCTTCTTCTTCTTGCATATCTGGGTTTCTTTTTCTTTTTTTTTTTCCTTCCTCCGACGACCCTCCTCCCGTCTCCCCCCCCAGCGACCCTCCCCCACCCCAACCCAGCTCCCTTCCTCCCTCTTCTTCTTCTTCTTCTTCCCCCGCGCCCAACTCCCTTCCTCCCTCTTCTTCTTCTTGCAGATCTGGGTTTCTTTTTTTTTTTTTTTTTTTGATTTTCTTCCTCCGACGACCCTCCTCCCGTCCCCCACCCCCTGCGCGCCCCCACCCCGACCCAACTCCCTTCCTCCCTCTTCTTCTTCTTCTTCTTGCATATCTAGGTTTCGTTTTTTTCCTTCCTCCGACGACCCTCCTCCCGTCTCCCCCCCCTGGGCGCCCAGCGACCCTCCCCCCACCCCGATCTCTTCTTCCTCTTCTTCTTCTTGCAGTGGGTTTCTATTTTTTTTTCTTTTTCTTTCTTCCTCCCTCCTCTTCTTCTTCTTGCTGATGTGGGTTTCATTTTTTATTTTTTTGGTTGAGAAAATTCAGGTTTAAAAAAAAAATTTATTTTATTTGCCACGTGGCAGACATTTGGCAGCCACGTGGCATATATGTGGCAGCCGTGTCAGCATTTAACAGATTCATGGATGGAAAATGTAACGGTTGTATGAAATTGAAATAAAATAGTACTTAAGGTATGAAAGTGAAATGTTTTAAAGATGTTGTATAAGATTGCAATAGACCTCAAACTTGAGGGGCTACTATGTAATTTACCCTTTTCTTTTTGTTTACAATTTCACTTAATTATTCATATTGTGATTTAATTATATCTCAAATTCGAGGTCTATACAAATATATATTTGTTGTATATAATGTATATTATATCATTTGTATTTGAGTGGTTCTAAAATGAAGTTCCAAGGCGGTTTCGACTGTGCCTGGAAAGATCGAACAACATTTGAACTTCCTCTAGATAACAAAGGATGAGATCGAGGTAAATCATGTGTGTCTCCTTTATTTGAGAAATTTGAAAAATAATCAATTTGAACACATACGGAATATAATCAATTTTTTAAATTTATAATAATTATAACCAAAAGTTAATATGAAAATTCTAGTATATTCTTATTCATTAATGATTATAAACTTTCTCATTCCCTCCAATTTTCTTAGCAACCAAACACCAAAACAACAACAAGTGGACCTTTATTACCGTGGTGGAAAGATGTTGAGCCCTTGCATATTGGCGTGAGCTCGAATTTCGTCGGTAGTTAATTTAATATCTAATATAATAAAAACTATCATTTGAAAGAAAAAAAAAACACCCAAACAACAACAAAAAACAATTACCCAATAAAGTTTAACTTACCTGAAAGTTTTGGGACTGAAGAGTTGGGAAACTTGCCATCTGTGTTTGAAACTGAAATCTGCGTCTGACAGACTGACACTGAAAGAGCTCGAACGCCCAACAAGTTTTCCCATTTGATGATTTAGGTGTTCGTGTGGGTGGGCGGAGAGAAAACCCGTGAGTCAAAACCGCCAATGGGGACGTCTGCTTTCTCCTCCTCCCTTCGTTTGTGGAGGCAATCAGTTAAGTGGCATTTGGAAGAAGGATTGGCGGCTCTGGTTGCATTTACTTGGACGCGGGTGGTCAGTGAGGGACTAGATGTAGGGCCGACCGTGAGAATTTGGTTGTTTTAGGTGTGCCTTTGAAGTGTGGTCCTAAAGTAAACAAGGGGGCTTAGGATTTGGTGTTTGTTTGGAGAATGCGACAAAGGCCAAATGGTTAGCCGTTCAGGTTTGGTGTTTGGCAGTCCGTAGAGTGCGACAAAAGGAATAGACATTTTTTTTTTTGAAGTCTATAAGAACAAGTTTGAGTTGTTTGACGTTTCACCTTTCACTCTTGAAACGAGTTCGCGATTTTTATTCAATTAGTTATATACAACAACAACAACAACAACAAAGCCTTTTCCCACTAAGTGGGGTCGGCTATATGAATCCTAGAACGCCATTGCGCTCGGTTTTGTGTCATGTCCTCCGTTAGATCCAAGTACTCTAAGTCTTTTCTTAGAGTCTCTTCCAAAGTTGTCCTAGGTCTTCCTCTACCCCTTCGGCCCTGAACCTCTGTCCCGTAGTCACATCTTCGAACCGGAGCGTCAGTCGGCCTTCTTTGCACATGTTCAAAATCACCGGAGCCGATTTTCTCTCATCTTTCCTACAATTTCGGCTACTCCTACTTTACCTCGGATATCCTCATTCCCAATCTTATCCTTTCTCGTGTGCCCACACATCCCACGAAGCATCCTCATCTCCGCTACACCCATTTTGTGTACGTGTTGATGCTTCACCACCCAACATTCTGTGCCATACAACATCGCTAGGCCTTATTGCCGTCCTATAAAATTTTCCCTTGAGCTTCAGTGGCCTACGACGGTCACACACAACACGCCGGATGCACTCTTTCCATCCAGCTCGTATTCTATGGTTGAGATCTCCATCTAATTCTCCGTTCTCTTGCAAGATAGATCCTAGGTAGCGAAAACGGTCGCTTTTTGTGATCTTCGCTAGATTGCTCCGGTCATTAGTGTGGATAAGTATATAAATGGATAGAGATAGGAAAGCAAACACAAGATGTACGTGGTTCACCCAGATTGGCTACGTCCACGGAATAGAAGAGTTCTCATTAATTGTGAAGGGTTTACACAAGTACATAGGTTCAAGCTCTCCTTTAGTGAGTACAAGTGAATGATTTAGTACAAATGACATTAGGAAATATTGTGGGAGAATGATCTCGTAATCACGAAACTTCTAAGTATCGGAGTGTGGTGTCGTCTTGACTTGCCTTATCTGTCTCATAGGTAGATGTGGCATCTTCTCTGGAAGTACTCTTCCTCCATCCAGGGGTGGTATCTTTAACTGGTGGAGATGCACA